CTACCAAATACTTTACCTTAACCATACCCTGAACTCGGAAATGATAAAGCCTAAAACCTCCCAAGGCCCAACATCTCACCTAATCCAAAAACCTCCCCAAAGCCATTAACCCTGAACTGGGGGATGTCCTACTAATAGGATTTTACTAACATTAATTAGTAAAATGCTATTATTTTTTGTATAATATCACTACTGTTTGAATTCTTCATAAAGTTCTGACATAATCATTTTGATGTCCTTTTTTTGTTTTCATCTCTTTCGTAGTATCTTAAGGTCTTGTATAATATATTAAAAGAAAGACCATCCAACGATTGTTTTTGGTGTTTTCTTCCTCTCACCTCTCTTATAATCATAAAGTGTCTGCACTCTGGATACGGTAAGCATTCATAAAACTCTCTGACTAACTTGTGTAGTTTTTTGTATGCTTTATGTTTGTTCCATAGTCGTTAAACATATTTGTCATTATTACATCTTTAAAAAACTTTTCATTTGGGAAGGGATTTTCCTTAATGAAATAATAACAATCTAATTCAAATTTGCCTAAACAGTGATACTCAAGTTCAGAGCGCATATCCGATAACATGCCAGTCAGGAAGCCTCCTTTGCAACAAAAATGCTCTATCCATCCTTGCCGCAGCAGCTCGTAGGATGTGCTACTGGATCGGACAAAACATATCACATGGCTCTCCTGCTTCGGTAGCTCCCCAAGAAAGAGCTCTGTAACAGATCTATGGGCTTCGGTTGAACACCGGGAGCGCGGCCACAATCACAACGAAGACTTGCATTCCCAGTCCTGGCGATCTTGGAGCTCGGACATAGACGCAGAACCCCAAAAGCTTGGGAATCTTGTGGTCGACACCCTGCAAGCTACATATCTACACCCTTTCACGTAGATGTAAGCCGATTCTGTTTGGTGCTTTGTTGGGTGCAGGTTCGGAGAAAAGAGCCAGCAACCTTGCCTCGAAACAAAGTAGCCGCACAGGCAAAAGCCCACAAAGTGCTAACCTGGGTGGGCAACAGGCATTGGGGTTCAGGGCATCACTTGTTAGGGTTAGCACCTGAACCTATGCGTTGGGTGCATCGGCAGTTCAAGGTATGCTTCTCCGGACAACCTCCACTGCCAGGCAAGGTTGCCACGCCCTGTCCTGTCCACAGAAGGAGGCCACTGCGATAGAAGCCTTGCCTGACAAGCCAGACACTCCATGATCCCTCATCTAAGGATGCCTTCGGATACTGGTGCTAGAAAAGCTGTATATAGTATATGGGCTTGATCGAGTTCATAGAGCTTCATGAAGGCTGCCCTTCCCGGGAGCTTTGCAAACATTTCCTCGGCTCCGGAATGTTGGGCTGTTGGAGCTGCTATCAGAGCTGCTATCAACTCTGTAGTTTTAGAGTTTAGGGTTTAGGGTTTAGGGTTGAGGGTTTAGGGTTTAGGGTTGGGGGTTAGAACACCTTATCTACCAAGAGCTGTCCTTGAGATGTCTTCGTGGAGTCAGAAGGCTAAATCCGAGATCCGATGGGTAATGTAGGGGCCTGAATAAGTACCTATATCATCTTGGGGGTTCCTTAGTATAACTACGGTTTAGGGTTTAGGGTTTAGGGTTTAGGGTTTAGGGTTTAGGGTTTAGGGAATAACTGTAACATAATGGGCCACAAAGCCCTATTCTAATTATTAGGGCCCCTATATTATCGACTGGGCTTGGCTGTTGGTAAGGGCTTTGAAGAAAGGCGCTGAAGCCCAAACCCAGAAACCTGACAACCCTGAAAACAAACCCCGAGCCCCAACGTTGTCTTAGAACGGCAAGTTTCAGCTTTAACTTTAGAGCCAAACGGATATGTTATCAGAACTGCAGTTGCTACACGCACTTGCTTGCTCATGAGACCTGCGTTCTTCGGCTTGTGGACCATTGACTTCACCATGGGGGCCATGGGGTTTTTGCCGGGTGGTAACAAAAACGCCTCCCACAAAGTTACATATGACCGCTATAACACTATGAGGGAAATCACAAAGTGTCCTCCAATGCCACCTAGTTTTGAGTTTGAGCGGCTCAAGGTCCGAAGGGTCCCACGACCAAAGAAGGCTCACTAACACGTAAGAATGGCCTCGTAAACGTGCCTACCCCTGAGATATTGGTGAAGAACCGCAAAAAAACACCCCGAAATGTCACGAACACCCCATCTTGACACAATCCAGAGCAACAGAAAAGGATTTCTTGACGAGCTGCTTGTACCATTGGTCCTGGAGACAGGTTACACTGAGAGGGTTTTGGCATAGGAGGTTTACATGCAAATGGACTGTGAGGCTAATTGTTCGAAGTGCCACGCGCATGCCTAGCCGGGCCAAGCCTCCTCTAGTGATCGGAAACCATGACACCAAAGCAAAGCAGACGGGCCTTAGTCAGTCTATTAGGTTTTGAATTTTTTGCTGTTATTCTTATGATGAAATGACTACAAGAGAATGCTACCACGAGGTATTCAGACCCCCGTGTTGGTCCTGATGCCGAATACCCAAGTCTGTGGCTCCGAACCATCCAACAACTTCGCGGAAGCTGACTATTCGTTCGGCGAATAGTGAGGCGAAATCTTTGTGTCATGTGCCTAAGTAGGAGCGTCCCATTAGGATTCCAGCGGAACCTAATGGTTTGGGTTTAAGGCTCATGGTTTAGGGTTTGGGCTTTAACTCTACAGCCGTCAACTGCCGTCCCGGCACTTCAGCACTTTTTTCCCGCCACCTACAACACCTGTTTGACATACTTGAGGTGTGTCGTTCTGGGTTGGAAGATCAGTACCGGCTTGAAGCTTTCCTTCACGACGCAGGCCACCAGGGCCGTAGCAATGAACCAGCAGTAAATGGCGATGAAGGTGACATCACCTTGGTCAGAACAGGCTGGGCTTCGTAGTTTGCTCGTTCGTGTGTGTGCGCGTCGGTGGTCTTTAGCAGATTTAGCATTCAGAATAGTAGTTGGGCAGGCAAGCAACCCACAGAACAAGAAATAGAAACGGAAGCCTTCTGTTCGAGCCAGCCGCAACACTTGGCCGATTGCCGCGCTCCAAACCCAACATCCGGCACCCTCCTTCTGACTTTTTAGGGGTTTAGGGTTTAGGGGTTTTTGCCCTCTCGCATGGCTGAGGAATATGCTCACGGCGAGGTCTGCTTTGGAGCTAAACGCATCATTAATGGTTCAGGGTTTAGGGTAGAGGGATTGCCCTAAACCCTAAACCCTAAACCCTAAACCCTAAACCCTAACCCCGAACATGGAACTCCGAACCGAAAACCACGCATGCTCTATACAGAATCAGACCTGGGACCCGAGACACCCACCCGGCAACCCAAAGAACTAGGGGTACCTTATTTTGGGGGGTCCTTGTAAAAAGGATCCTACTGTTTAGGGGTACTATATTCGAATCTAATTCCTGATTCCAGGAGAGGGGCGAACGGACATCTTCGGCGAGTCTTTTGTCTGCTCCCCAGCTGAACGGCGGCTCCTCTTGAGAAAGGAGTCCGGATTTAAGATTTGTGTTCTAATGCAGGCTTCCGAATTGCAGAATTTCGCGAAGGTCACTGCTAAGTACACATTTTCGCTCCGCACCGAAAGCCTTGATACATGTGTGGTATGGGATCGAATGCGAGTCTTTCCCAGAAAGTTCGGCGCCGGGCCAGCCACCCACATCATGTAATATAGGAACCTGAATTTCAGAATAGGGTTCTGGGGTCCAATATACTATAATTATACTAAGGAACCCCAAATAGTATTGGCGATTATTTAGGCCTGTACAGTACAATCTCGCCACTCTGGGCCGGCATCATGAACATCAGAAGCATTTGTGCCGGCATGAATGGCAATCCGCTTTACCACGGGCAATAACATTGATCAGCCGCCTGAGGCTGTTGCGATTCGGCTGCCACAACTAGGGCGTCGACCCCTATGCCTGTCCTCACACCACTAACTTGAAACCTCCGAATAATTCAGAAAAGTTTGGAGGTGTTGCAAACAGATTCCAACCAAATCAGCGCGGCCTGCAGCATCAGTTTTACTACAAACCACGCAATAAGTTGGGTTGACAAGACAAACTTCTGGTCGATAGATTAGGAGCAAGGGCTGGGCTTGAGTTGACCTGAAAACCTCGACTTCGTGGCAATGCGACTGAGGGGCGGCTCCCGCTGCGGCTGGGAGACCTGGCAAGGTGGTCTGGGTCTATATGCAGAACTGGATTCTGATAGAGCCTCAGAGCCAAAGATAGCTTACAGTGCTCGGAAGAGCCCTTTCGTCGTAAACGTTCACAAGTAACCCACTTGTGTAGGGCCGCTGGGAAGCATGTTTGCTATCCATTGAGTTTGGGATCTAGAATCTAGGTGCAGATCACATGCAACACGGTACTGCTTAACTTGTGACTTGTCAAAGCCATACATTCAGTAGCCGCAATGGCACGGTCATCGTCGTCCACGACTACCCTGCTCCTACTCCTACTCCTACTCCTACTCCTACTCCTACTCCTACTCCTACTCCTACTCCTACTCCTACTCCTACTCCTACTCCTACTACAGACTACTACTACTACTACTACTANNCTGCTACTGCTACGACTACTGCTACTGCTACTGCTACTGCTACTGCTACTGCTACTGCTACCACTACTGCTACTGCTACCGCTACCGCTACCGCTACTCCTACTGCTACTCCTGCTGCTGCTGCTGCTGTTGCTGCTGCTGCTGCTGCTGCTGCTGCTGCTGCTGCTGCTGCTGCTGCTGCAACTACTAGTACTACTACGACGACGACGACGACTACTACTACTGCTACCACGACTAGTACTACTAGCAGTCATACTAGTAGTACTCGTACTGCCGTTTCTTCCTTTGCTTCTGCCACAACAACATCAACCACGACGACGACGACGACGACCCACGACTACTGCTACTACGACCTAGCACCCGTGCGTTCTGCTGCGTTGCTCTCATGCTTTCGCGGCCGAAACCACGACAACCACCACCACCTCCACCTGCACCCCCAACGCCACCGCCCGCCCACCCCCAGATAAGCACGCCCCCCGCCCCTCATTGTGAGTGATTTCACTACCACCAGCGCAGCATCAGCATACTTAGCACAGCCGATGGTTCGTCTGGTTGGTGAAGAAGACCTGCCAGTAATCCTTTGCACCCTGTCCGATAACAATTGGATCTAGGATTGGGAGGGCAGTGGTTTTCGGCTTCAGGATTCGGGGTTGCAGCTGAATATTTCCGGTGGACGGGTAAGGTAAGGTTTAGGACAATTAGGATACGAGGCCTTGGGACAAGACCGTGAAAACATGGAGACCAAAAACAATTTCTTTGGCCCTTGGTACTGCCGCGCCTGGGCAGTCACAGATTCGGCACGGATGGCGTGGTTCAGCCTCGCACGTTGCCAGTTTGAAATTCTGAAAACGGTTTAGGTGGCATACATGCTAAAAATGAACCCACAATGCCTTAGGCATCAATCAGGTTAGGCAGAATGCGCGCACGTAGCATCAACAGCACAAGTCCGTCGTCCAATGCCATAAGGCGAAGCAAGCCCCTGTTTCTATTTCGCAAGTTCAATGCAACCAAAGACCGACCAAGATCAAACTCTCTATTCGCAAGTCTTCGCGGGCATGATAGGTTGCTGGCCCTCGTCTACAGTGTTCCCCAAATCTTATTTCATGGAAATACTTTCTAAGTAGCTTCGAGACACCATGCTTGACGGCTTGGCCCGTTCTTGGGGCTGAGCTTCAAGCCGTAAGGTTCAGGGCTTTCGGTATGAGCTTGGGTAGCGCTTCGTGGGATTTTGAAAATCTGTGTGGGTTTAGCGTTTTCAGGCTCGGGGCTTATAGGGTTTATAAGGGTTTAGGTCTGTTGCCTTTTTAGGCCCCCCTTTTCCTCATGCCATGGTTTGCACTCAGAAAGGCCCCGCGGACTGGGGAAGTATCAGCCATGAACAGTACAAGTGAAGCCAAACACATATGGGTAGTTGTCAAAATTTTGGTCCCTTTTGGGGTACCCTAAATAATAGGTGCCGTATCATAATAAGGACCCAGAAAGGGGACCCTAATTTTGACCACCACCCATATACACACAGGGTTTAGGATTTAAGGTTTAGGGCTTAGGGTTGCGAGATACTCCCACAAGAGCCTAGGATGGTCAGCTATGGAGACTCTGCGAAGCATGAACCAAGCAACAACCTCAACACAATCTGCAATACCAAGAAATGCTGCGCCTGAACCACGGACCCTTTAGTATCAAAGGGAAGACATTTTTTGCAAGCCTAGGACAAAGTTTGACAGCGAATCTCACCTATAGGTGAGATCACAGTCCGATGTCCCCAGGCAAACCCGTCGTTCTTCAGGGCACGGTCAGCGTTATGACCGTGAAACCACGTCCTAGTCCAGACTGCTCAAGCGAGCGGATCTTGCTGCCGAGATTGCCGAGGGTCCATGTGCCCTAAACTCTGACCACCAAATCCTAGACCCTTTTAAACAATTGCCGACCCTTCACAACCAAAATATAATGCTTATTGCAAGAGCAATTTCAACAGGACCGGCCCAAAGTTCCATGCACCATGCTACGGTATAAAACAAAGGCTGCTTGCAAAGATGTTGAAAGGCCGCTACATGGGGCTGTCATTCATAACATAAACGGCTTAGGCTTTCGGGCTCGGGGTATGGGGTGTAGGGTTTAAGGTGTATAATAGGGTTTGATGCTGCTTGGACCCTTGGCTCAGGGGTACTCGTCTGGAACTGTCTCGTTCTTCTTTGTACGAATGTCTTCCAGAAAGAAAAAGCAGACTCTTGGAGGACGGCTGGACTGGCCTGAATTCAACATGCACGCGCACTAAGCCCAAAACTGTCGAAGCCGTTATGTAATCCCAAACGCTGTCTCAAAGCTAAACCCTAAACATAGACCCTAAACCCTCAACCCCATATACCCTAAACCCTAAATCCTCACAGTAGCCTTAACCCCAAGCCCTCAGCCCTCAACCCCAAATCCTAAGCTGACGGCTCAGAGGTGGTCACAGGCATCACACAGCAGGCGTCAGCGCTGAAGCTACTTGGAGGAGGTTCAACCCAGGCGACGCAGGCGTCGGGCTCAAAGGAGCGGTAGGTCTCACAGTTCCGGAAGGCCTGGTGGGTTTAGGGTTTAGGGTTTAGGGTTTAGAGTTTAGAGCGTAGGGTTTTAAGTAGATCCCGAGAGCTCAGGGTTTAGGATCAAGGGTGTTCACCTTGAGCTCTCAACCCTCAATCGTAAACTCCTAAACCCTAAACCCTCAACCCTAAGCCCTGAATACTACATAGAGCTACTAGAACCTAAGCTCTAAACTGCCGAGAGCGCTGCTGACCATTTTCATGAGCCCTCGATCGAGGCTTCGGCCGAGTGTCTCGTCAGAACGGTGAGGGAGGGCTTTGGGGTTTGAGCTTTGGGGTTTGGGGTTTGGGGTTTAGGGTTTAGGGTGTAGGGTTTAGGGTTTAGGGTTTTTGGGTTTAGGGTTTACGGTAAGGGTTGCCGGGCCGGCCTGTTAATGACCTCTCTGCCGTGAGGCAATAAACACCGACCCCAATGCCACGACCATTCATTGAGTTGCACACTGCTTTTTTGGGTCTTGGGGCGGTGCCGCCTGGGGCCGCAGGCTGGCAGATTGCAGGGACCCAGGGCCTCCTGGCCCGGTCTCGTCGAGCGGCCGGCACAGGACGCGAGGACCCGCAACCCGACACCACTCCATCTCAACTGTGGTTTGCTGTGAAACGCTCATTTTATGCAGAACTGCGAAGGGAACAAGAGAGCAAGAAAGCCTTTGGGGGGTGAGCCCTGAACCCTACTTGAGAATAGTTTGGGTGGTTGGGGCGGGACTATAGTGACTATACGTGCTGACGCAAGCGCGCGAGAAGCGGGTGCGCCCCCGTTCCTAAAGAAGCGCACCCCCCGCGTGCACACTCTATACACACACACCCTGAACCCTATAAACCTTAAACCCTCAACCCTAGAGCCTAAAACCTAAACCCTGAACCCACGGAATTGTCGAAGCCCACCTGCTGGACGCCCAAGCCCACCCAGACGCAGAGGGTGAGAAAAGCCAGGACCCAGCAAGCAATGAAGGCCTCAACCATACACAGCTTCAAGATTCAGGCTTAGGGTTTCGGGTTTACGGTTTCTGCGCTCACACTCGGATTACGGTTTAGGGTTTAGGGTTGAGTAGGGGTGAAAGTTGAAGTCTGGATTTCGGGTTTAGGGCTTAAAGGAAGAATTTATGCCTGCAGGCTCAACAGAACTCAACCCAAAAATCCTCTACCCTAAACCCTTCACACTGCCCTACATCGTAAACCCCACATCCCATGTCCCTCTACCCAAAACTAAAATCACCCGAAGCCCGAAACCCTAAACCCCAAACCCTCAACCCTGAAACCAAAAAGTGCTCAAAGAATCCAAGGAGCCGGTTTTGCTTTGTTGGGCGACATGGACATGCCATAGCAGCAGGTGATGATCGTAGCCCTTGGCAATTCGGGCTTAGGGTTTAGGTTTACCCTAAACCCCAAACCCAAAGCCCTTGCCAGAGTCAGAAGAGCGGCATTTCGGGTGTTTGGGTTTGGGCTTCGAGGGCACAGGGAATAGAGGGTTTCGAGAAGAGGGTAACACCAAACCCTAAATAACATCAATAATCATCATCCTCATAAAGTAATACTCACCACTTCTTATAAAAAATCATCAGAACAATAGCAAAAAATAACAACAATGGTAACAATAATAAGATTAATAAACGAAATTCTGGAACCCAGAACCGACTCCTGAACCTGGAATCCGGGACCCCAAACCCTGAATCTTGATCTTTAAGCCCTTTCGCATCCGGTCTGCAACGACTCTACCATAAAGGGACACCCTAAACTTGGTTGAGGGTTTAGGGTTTAGGGTTACGGACCTATTAGGTAATCCCAAAAAGGAACTACTATGGGGCCTATGGGTAGGGACACCCTAAACTTGAAAGCAATCCAAGAAACATAGCCCTTGTATAGTCTCATGAAGCCCCTATATAACCCCAAGGGTCCCTTTAAAGGTCCCTCCTATAGTCCCTTGATGAAAGCCATCCAAGAAACAGGGTACCAAGGATACCGCAGATGATGCAAGCAATCTCCAGGCCCTGGCCGGTTGACGGTCCGGGTTTGGGGTTTATAGAGCGTTTAAGGTTTAGGGTTTAGGGTTTAGGGCGTGGACTTTAGAGTTTAGGGTTTAGGGAATAGAGTTTAGGGGCTGATATTGTTTTTGGTTTCGGGTGTCGGGTCTTAAGATTCTTGGGGTTTTGGGTTCGGGTTTAGGATTTAGAGAGCTTACTGTAAACCCTAAACCCTAAACCCTGACCCGAGGGTTTAGGGCTTCGAGTCCTGGTAGAAGCCAGCCCCGCAGCCCTGCAGGAGGAGACTACAAACCAGCAGCGTCACTGCCGCGGCACCCTGAGCGCGCGTCATGGCCCACCACGATCGAAACAGGAACAGTGAACAGTATATGTAGTATAGTTCAGTTTAGAATAATTTAATTTAGATAGCTCATTTTAGATCAGATTAGTATCGTATAGTATGGTATAGTCTAGTCTAGTCTAGTCTAGTCTAGTCTAGTCTAGTCTAGTCTAGTCTAGTATAGTATAGTATAGTATAATATAGTATAGCATAGCATAGTATAGTATAGTATAGTATAGTATTAGTATAGTAAGATATAGTATAGTAAGATATAGTATAGTAAAGTAATATAGCATAGTATAAAGGAAATTCAGAAGCCTTTTCGAGCCTGTTTTGAGGCGGAGAACATGGCTCAGCTGCGATTGGGAACCATTGGATTGGGCTGTTGAGCTAGTCCTGCACTCTGAAACATGCGAAACTACAAGCCCGACCCCCGCAACGACCAAAGCTGCGGACCCCACCCCAAACCCTAAACTGAATCAAACCCCAACGCCCCCAAAAGCAACCCCCGCCCAGGCCGAAACATTTCGATGGCGGAGGGAAGCAGCTCTCCCTGCTGATATCCACCGACCGATCCGTCATGTACCATACACTGGCACCCAATCTCTAACGGCCTCAACAACTCCAATCTCGAAAGGCTAGCTGACTCTGTCGCCCATGGACGCGCGAGCATCTTCCGACAGCTACCAGCAGAGAAGTAGAGGCTTTGACACTTTCCGTGCTATATCAGCACGCGCTGTGCCATGGCAGCTGCTTCAACACCTGTCAAAGTGCCGTATGGAGTTGGTAGGGTAATTATCAGCCCTGGTCGCCATGTCTACCGGCTCATGTGATGGTGCTCCTTCTGGGCACTCTCTGATCTCCTGCGAGCATTTGGGGATTTCCAAAAATAGGAGACCCTAATATAGTACCCTAAACAATAGGATCCTTATTATAAGGACCCCAAAATAAGGTACCCCCAATGTTCGGAAACTCCCATTTGTCAGTTGCCTAACCTTTTTTTCACAGTTCAGACGCTCAAGTCGCTCCCGGGCTCCTGCTCGCTTGTGTCGTACATCGACTTGCTGCATGGCCGCCTCTGATTGATATTTCGGGTTAAGTCGATACGACTGGCTGAACGACCCCGTAGTATAAGTGCCGGAATCATGACCCCTCGCTGGTGAGTCCTCCAAATCTGCTGGAATCCAATACCTTTGCGGCCGGGAAAAGCAAAGACCTGGCTGCAAATTCCGGTGGTCTCAGTGCATCAGACACTCTTGCTTCGGGAGGTCGATCTTTCCAGTCACATCGACACGCACCAGCGTCCTCTCCGTGACAGCTTTAAGCAGCCCTAACGGCCCCCAGCCGTGCTCATCTTGCACACGAAAGCATCGCGCCCTGTCCCGCGAACACTGGAGATGCTCTGTCGCAAAGATGGTCACATAACTATCCTCAGAGCGAGTGATGACAACGCCACTTGTACTAGACGCAACATCGAGTGCGGAGTGGCGTCGCGCCCTGTCGCATCCCATGTCTTTCCAGCACAAAGTTAAACCCACATAGCCCGGTTGAAAGCATGACCTCTGTTGCCACAATGCTAGCGCTTCGACCATCAATCAGCATGCCACCATCTGCTGAACTTCCCGCAGGGAGCCTTCAAGCTGATCGTCCGTGATCTTTTTGCGGAGAAGACCTGCAGAATTCTTCCACAGGGGCGGCAGGCTCCCAGGAGTTCCGCAGCTGCCAGAACGAGACTGCAGCCGGCGGGTTTCCCTGCGTAAGTGCTTAAAGGCTGTGCAATATCACACGTCTCGGTATTCTCACCTCACGCAACTGTGAGAAACGGATGGCATCAATCTGGATCTGGAGTGTGTCCGTTGTGGGGAGCAGAGGCAATCTTGTTCGCAAGTAGGCCGTGCAGTACATGTCTGGCATGCTGAGTCCCAGAGCTACGTGCCTGTCCGTGCTTGGCTTGACAGAGCAGAGCTGCGAAGATATGTTTACACCTCTATCACTAGAGTCTATAAAGCCGGATGCTTTGGGTTACATATAGGGTTTATGAGGTTTAGGATGCAAGCTACGAGCCTGGGGGACTAGGGCTCAGAGCTGACAAATAAAGGATTTTCCTGCCGAATGGTGTGCCAGGAATCTGGGTATGACAGACAAGAGAAGGGGGTTGAGAAGGCATGGAGAATGCCCAGCCGACTGCTTTGAGGTCCCGTGGGCTGCTATAGGGTTTGCGGTTTGATTTGGTGGCCTTAACAGCTAGAGTTTGACTAAGGCTTTGGGATATATTGTAGTGCAATTCTACGGGTGGCTGCCTTGGGTCCTCTTGGCCATAGCCATAGTCCGCCATAGACCCTAAGCTCCAAGTGGCTCAGGGTGAGTAGAAAGCCGACTCCAATCAGAGTGCCGATGAAGTTGTTCGGAAGGGCCCCTGAAACCTTCATGAAACCGACAAGCGGCTGGTTCAGCAATGTCAGGCCGAAGTCGTTGGCCTCCCTCGGCACGGATGTGCTTCTTCATGTGCTTCGGGTTTGGACTAAGGGGTTCGTCGCTTCAAGATGCGAAGGCTTGGGGCAAGGTTGGGACAAGCTACAGGACTGAAATGCTTTGCCCTAGAGCTTGCAGCTCGCTAAGAAGCAGTTGGCACGTCAACAGTTTAGGGATGGGTAGTAAAGGAATGTCACGTTGAGACTTCGTAACGACCAACCGTTTATGGCAATGGTCTGGAACTGCAGGTGGTACTGCAAAACGCACACGACTTTTGACTTGATTCGGCTTCCAGTCTTGTCTTGATGGCCTAGCATCCTGGAAATGACAATGGTAATTGGCAACCATGCTGGAATAATGAACCCCTCAACCTTACGCCGTAAGTGCACCTAAAGACCCAAATCCAATTTCTTAAAGACTCCAAACCCTGAATCCGTCAAGACTGTAGGGCCCTGAATAATTACCAATACTATGTTGGGGGCACCTCACTAAAATTATAGCATAATGGGCCCCGAAACCCTATTCTACTCATTGAGGTCCTTATATTTGGAACCCCAGCCCTTCAACCCAGAAACCCTTAACACTAAACCCGAAACCCGAAATCGGTAAATCCCTAAACCCTGCAACCCGAAACCCTAAACCAACAAATCCCTAAACCCTAATCCCTAAACCCGAAACCCTAATCCCGAAACCCTAAAACCTGAACCCAAAAACCGTAAATCCTGGCCTCGAGTTCTTCAAGTTCGCTGTCCGTGGGGCCGAATTCTGCCGAGCGTCCAGAGGAGCAGCAGCAAGATCGCCGTGATCCCAAAGAGCAGAGCGCCCATGAAGTAGCCTGCTTCTTCAGGGTTTAGAGTTTTGGGGTTTTGGGGCTTTAGGGCTTTAGGGTTTAAGGATTTAGGGTTTAGGGTATAGGGTTTAGGGTTTTAGGGTTTAGGGTTTCGGGTTTCGAATGTAGGGTTTAGGGCTTAGGGAATAGGGTTTAAGGTTTCAGGGTTTCAGGGTTCCGGCGGCTTAGGCGGTTAGGAACTGCGGGGTTCGAAAAGTCTCGGCCTTTTGGGATCCGGCCTGGGCCTACAATGACTCTAGGAGAAGAGGTGAGGGCTTGGGCATTCGGCTCTTGGAGGGTTTACAACCAGCCAAGAGAGCCCTCCAGTTTATTTTGCAGGGGTTTCGGAACTTAGGGGACCGTAATATAGTACCCTAGATAGCAGGATCCGGAAAGCAAGGACCCCCCAAATAGATGATGCATACAAGGCTGGCACAACCTTTCGGATGTCCTCTGCGGCTGACCTGTTCGTACGCCTGTCGCTGTCCGCTAAGCCCTCGTCTTACAAAGCGTCTAGGAGTGGTCGGTTCGGACCTCGGACGGCCGGGGAATGTCGAAACTAGTATCCCCAGCCAGTTGCCCATGATCATGAGTGTGTAGTTTTTGGGGGTTGCGGCGAACCCGACCAACTTAAAAAACCTTGCCCAAGCCTCTCTTTTTACTCATCTGCTTCAATCTTGCATCCACTTACATCCACCTATCTCCAGCTTGTTGCCCCTGACTCTGTCAACTGTGGCCAACTCAGAAAAAGGATTTCAGTGACTCATGAAAACCGCCAGGCCCAGCGTCGGACGAAGACTAAAATCAAAAAGCCCAGCCCAAGGTGCCCATAGGTACGATGAGCAGGGTGTGGTGCCAGTGGGGCGCCTCAGGAGGAGCGGCATAGGGTTTAGGGCTTAGGGGCTTCCCGCACTAGTCCACATGTGGCTGAAGCGTACGACAGCATACACAATTGTTGCACTTCGCATTTCTTTAACTGCAGGCCCGACACCTCACAAATGCCTTCAGCTTGGGTGTTCTCTCACATCCAACACAGGCCATCTCTCTCTCGCTCTCTCCTATGCAGCTTGGTCGATTCTTGGGCGATCCTGACCAGCAGTTTCGCCTAAGCTCTACGTCAGGATGGTGCCATGGTTTTGTCGGATGGTGCTCCCTTACAAGGAACTTATTTCCAGGCAGACAGCATCAGCTTCTGACTTCAGCCTCCGGGGATCGAAACAGGCTCAATGTCCAAACTTCACTGTCCCAAGACCCGAACTTTAACTCCCTGAGTCCCATTTGCAAGACCGTAGCAGAGGCAGCTACTCAGATGCAAAGGTTGCAGCGCACTCTTGCACACATTCTTTTACTGGCGGAACTGTTGCGGAACATCGCCCTCGTCCACTAGAGTCTCCTCGTGGCGCTGTTCGCCGACATCCCGCCATTCTCCTCTCACGACTTCTCCATTCGCTTTTTCTGTGACGGTCCGCTCCTTTAGGTCGTATCTCTGAATTCTTTTGTACTTAGTCTCAGTCACGCCGCGGGCAATCGCATAACCGGCCTTTGCACCGCCAAAGGCCATAGCTGGGAGTGCTGCGAACAACACCAATCCACCTGTTGCAACAACAGCACAACCTGCTCCAGTTGCCCCCAAAGCGCCCACTGCACCTCCGAAGAGCATCTTCTCCTGCTTGTTTACTTTCTGGTAAGATGGCTGTCCTGATGGGAATTCTTTTCGCTCCTTGCCCTGTTGAATTGTAGCCTGACCCTTTTTCTCGTTTTCTCGCTCTACCTTATCATGGTGATATCTAAGAGCCTCCTCAAGTCGCTTCACACCCTCTGCTGTCATACGTGATACATCGGCATGTTGCATAGCCTGGTCTGGCTGATACTTCAAACCATGTCGATATGGCCCTTCAACGGGCAAGTGGCTCTCGTAGTAGCAGCGTGCTGCCTCTATCCACCTCGCATCGCTGTCTTGCAAGACACTCTGGTAAACGTTCCGTGGTTGAATGCAACCTCCGCCGTTTACGTCAACCACTGAACGGCTCAACAGGTCGCGAAACATGGTTCCATCAAAGTCCTGCCGGTTGGCTGGCACATACTCTCCAAGCAAACCGATGCCTGCAGTAAGCAGCAGAGGAGCCTGCAGCACGATGTCTCGCAAAGTACCAATCTCGAAGTCTGCGGCAGTTGAAACAGGTACAGAAACAAAATGGCGGCATGGGAAGTGCTTTCGCACAGCTTCGCGACAGCCATTGCGCTCTGCATTCCCCTCGTCGGAAGACAATGCCCTCTCCAATGTCCCTGAGTCGTATTTATCATGAAAGCGGCTTCCATTCACGACCACCACAAGTTCCGGCGGCTGCGGGTCCAGCTTATCAGCTGACACAGCTCCGCTTGGCATCAGTACCTGTCGGCATGCACTCAGCCTGGCCAAGTTGGCCATCATGTTGTCGCCAAGACGGTCATAGTCAACACACACAATCTGGCTGCAGAGAAGCAGGCACAGCGTCGCAACCTCTGGCCTTGATTTTGCAAAGGCATTGTCGAAGCCCTCGCAGTCCAGGAGCAAGAGGGTGCCCTCGGTGCCGGGATTGTGGATGGCGACAGCATCAATCCCGTCTGTCACGGCACCCAATGCCCTCGCTGCTGGGAAGAGCGAACTCTTCCCAGCAACTTTCCCTGCGAGCGTAGACTTGCCTGTCCGTCCAGGTCCGACAAACGCAACAACTTGTAGCGGTGCCTCCAGTGAGCTCAATGCATCAAATGCTTGCTTTGGGACCTCCATCTTTCCATTGACAGCAAAACGCACAAGAGGTGTGCGCTCCATGACAACTTCAAGCTGCCCCTGCCTGCGCTCATCTTGCACACGGAAGCACATCGCCTCGTCCGGTGAGCACTGCAGATGCTCTGACGAGAAGATGGTCACGTAGCCATCCTGGGAGCGAGTGATGGCGACGCAACTTGCAACACATGCGACTTCAAAACCCTCGCTGTGTCGAGATCCAGTACCCTCCAACACGAAGCAAGGTCCACGTGGCGTGGGAAACCTGACCTTTGTAGCCAAAATCTCACCACTTCGACCATCAATCAGCATGCCACCATCTGCAGAAAACGCTTCTCGCAGGGAGCCTTCGAGTCGGTCGTCTATGATGCTTTTGTGCACGAGCTTGGAGGCAAAGTTCGAAAGAGGACGGCACACGAGTTCTTCGTCTGCCAGAACGAGAATGCACCCAGTGGGCTTCCCCTCGTACGTTCTCAAGCGCTCTGCGATGTCGACGCATCTCTCAAACACGGAGAAGCACACATTGGGGGGCAAATGCACCACCCGCAGCTGCGACGCACTTATCTTCTCTGTTGGAAGAGAAGGCACCATGGAGCGAATTAGGCAATCCTGTTTCTTGTAAGTGAGCTCGGTCAATGCCGGCCGCCGTGCTTAAACCCCCCTTCGTCCTCCGTTTGATCGCCCAACGCATAATTACAAAACATGTTTCCAGATTGGGTTTTGTCATGTTTTGTCTTTGGCACACATCTCTTGAGCCATCATGCTGGACGGCATGCAGCTTCTAGAGATTCCAAACTCCAGGGCGGCATCGCTCAACTATGTACCCAGGGGTGATTAGGGCATGAGGAAGTTGGGTAGCGGATTACGCCAACAAGTGGAATGCACAGCCGACAGTGGCGTATGAGGGGCTTCAGGTAGACTTTCATGGACGGCGAAGAGTGCAGCACATACACATTTGTCGACTTGCTCTGAAGGCCACCGCCTCAAGGAGACGTCGAGAAACAGTCGAGATGAAGTGTGCCACAGAGTGCGGAGTGGTGTTGTGTCCCATGTCACCGAAGCTATCCCGACGTGGTCCGGTTGAAAACACGGCCTTCAGTCGCCAAGATTTCACCACTTTGGCCATCTATCACCAGTTCACCATCGGCTGCGAACGCTTCGCGAAGGATGCCTTGAAGCCGAGCGTCCGTGATCATTGGGCGCACAAGGCTTGAATCTCTGATCGGCTGCCGAGTGCAAGCTGAAAGATGTTCTGCATCCGCCATGACGAGGAGGCAGCCGGTAGGTTTCCCTTCTTTATTGCTCAAGCTCTTTACGATGTCGACGCGATGCTCGAACACGGAGGAATGCACACTTGGTGTCAAGCTCGCCCCATGCAGCCCTGAGCGCGTGATGGCGACGCACTGTGCACCGCATGCGACATCCAGAGCCTCGTGGTGTCGCGTTCCATGCCCCTCCAGTATGAAGTTAAACCCGGCTGGCCTCGTGGCAAACCTGACCTTTGTTGCTAAGACTTCACTGCTTTGCCCACCAATCAACATGCCACCATCTGCTGCGAAAGCTTCAGGCAGCATGCCTTCAATCAGGTCATCGTCAGAAATCTGTTGATGGAGAAGACTTGACTAGCAGATCGAGAGCCGACGGCGCACTGCAAGGAGCTCTGCATCCGCCAGCACGAGAACCCTCGTAGGTACCCAGACGCTTCGCGATATCGACACACTGCGTGAACACGGAGAGATGCAGATTCGGCGGCAAGCTCACGCCAGTCAGATGCGACATGCACAGGGCGTCAATTTGGAGGCGCTGAGCCTCTGTCACCATTGTAGAATCTAGAAAGGTACGCAGGAGATAGGTCTTTTACAACAACGTCTTTGTCAACATGAGCTAGGCTTGCTTCAACATGCATCTGACTTTCTCCACAAGCTCCAGGGCATGTTTTCTGCACAGACATGCGCCTCAAGCCCAGCAATCAAACACGAAGGAATGTTTGCATGCAATCCATGCGCTGCCGGTGTTCAAGCTAGGCCTCCAGATCCAGGTGCTGGCCCCATCAAGGTTTGGGGTTTATAGGGCTTCTGCAGACAGCTGATGCCAGGGCACGTAGAGCGCACTGCCGGCACTCGCGACGAAGCAAACCGAGCCAACGAGGGTGAACCAGGACGCAAGCCTCGGTGTTGCTAAACGTTCATGAGAGACCAGGATATAATCCAGCACGTATGGTAAAATATGAACGTGTGAGCAATCAGCAAGAGCATCCCCCACCATCTTCGTAGAATGTTGCATTTGTGTAAATGTTGCCCTCACCTCCTTAAACCAAGTGTCCTCAACACCAAACGTTGTACCCGAAGCAACGAACCCAGATGGAATGTAACCGAAGGCTAAGTTTAGGGATGCCACCAGGCAATATCATCTCCGGCATTGCTGTCGCCCCCGGTTCCTTGGAAGTCAGGGTTTAGGGTTGAGGGTTCAGGGATGTGGTTGGGGTGATGGATTTCACTCATGCAGCAACTTTTCTTCGAAGCACGCAGGTTTGCGGTTAGAGCTTACAGAAAGCGTACGTAGCGCCACGACCCTGTGCTGTGGACCCTACAAGCCATACAACCCCTAAACGCGCAACCCCAGACCCTAAAGCCTGCGTCCCATAGCTGCTATAGCTCTTGTGCATCCTCTCGGCCGCATTGACGTGACGCCAGACAGTCTGAAGCTCACGTGGCCAAGCACCGCCAGAATCGCCAAGCTTCAACATACATCAAACATCCCAAAGTTCAGCCCGAAAATTTCCGAAAGCTTACAGCTGGAAGTTCTGAGTTCTCAAGGCCCAAGGCAAAAGCCTCACATCCCAACTGCGCTAGCGGCCCGCTTTGCCGCCAAGCCTCTGTTGAGAAGGATCTCACAAACCTCAGGTCTGATGCAGGCATGCGACAACACGAATCAGGCCGAGAACAGGAATATGGTTTTGGGATATATTATACTATAGCTATTATAAGGAATCCCCGAAATAGTATAGGTAATTACCCCAAACCCGACGAATAGTATTGACGAGGATGTCGGCCAGGTTGCGCCGCCAACGGTGAAGAGCAGGCTCCCGACGAAGTTTGGCACACCTTTGAGGCTGTGGTTTCAGGATTCTCGAGTCTCAAAGGGGGTTTCGGAAAGTTGGGGCGTCAAAAATCATCACGGCTTCGGATGCCGCAAGGTTTAGAGGTGCTGTGGGTGGAACTCTTCTTCTTTTGTCAGGCGTCGGGGTCTAGGCCTGCGTGGTTCCGGCGACGCCAGCAACACAAACCCCTGAAACTGCAGACTCTACTATAGGGGCTTGTATAATTGGAATAGGGTTTTGGGGGGAGGGCATTATACTATAATGATAATAAGAATAATAGGAATAATAATAATAATAATAATAATATGGAGCCCCCCAAAATAATATTGGTAATTATTTGGGCCCCTGTATTACACCCCAAACCCTCCACAAAAGCATTGGGTTCATCTCTGAAGGTATCACAAGGGAGGCAACGAAGCTTTCAAGGTCCTGGGACTGGTAGCCATCTGTGGTCGCAGAAGCGGTCGACTATAGCGGTCCATAAATTGGCATGAGGGTTTCAGTCTTCAGGGCAAACTATAGCAAAATCATAGGTACTATTCACTATAAGTTCAAGAGGCAAGTTGCAAATATTCAGACGTCTATGGCAGGACTTGGGCTTCGCAGCACCCCAACTCTCCGAGCAGTTCATCCCACAGATCTTAAGTCGAACACCGCTGCTGCTCAGGCCCAAGAGGACAGACACCTGGAGCCTAGAGTGCCTAAAGCCTATAGCCTATCAATCCCAAAACACTACAGTTATTGTAATCGCTCCTAGAAGAAGAACGGGAAAGAACCCAGAACTTCTGCATTCGGATACCTCAAAGCTTGGAACCGCAAGCCACAACTCCCGGATCACCTTAATTCCGAAGCCCAGCACTGGAACAAAACACCTATCCCAAACCAGATCATGCTAAATTTCGATCCCCAAAACCTTTGAACCCGGAACCCTCAACCCACAACATCTACTTCAGTAACACCCTATATCCGGCCGAAACCCTCTCTGGGACCACGGCCAATCCAGAGATCAGCATTCGTCGGAACATCCGCGAACTCGGTGTGCGTGGCATTTTAGGCTCTTGTGTGCCGCTGTTTGGCCAAAGACACGCTAAATCGCACCTCTACAGAAAGATAGGGTGCAGAGTTTAGGGGTTTAGGGTTCACGACTTCAAGCAGAGTCGGCGCTGAAATCGAGTCTTGAATGGCGCTCCAGGGCTTCAAGGTTTAGGGTTTCAGACTACAGGGTTGAGGGTTTTGGGTCGAGGGGTTTAGGGTTTAGGGGTTAGGGTACTAGGGGCTTAGGGCTTAGGGTACCAGGGGTTCAGGGTTTAAGGTACTAGGGGTTTAGGGTTGAGGGTCTAGGGGTTTAGGGTTTAGGGGTTTAGGGTCTGCAGTAGGGGTTTCGAGTTCAGGATTTAGAGAGGATTCCGGACACCCCTCCACAGCAAAGGCCAGCTGCATCGGCCACGCAAGCGATTTGAAAGAGGATCCTCGGCGAGTTGTGCGGTGCTGAGAGGAGTTTTGGAGCTGTTTAGGGCGTACGCGCTTAGGACTATAAGTGCTTGGGGAATACGGCTTGGGGAAGAGATAGTTGGAAATAGGATACTGAAGGTCTGGCGACTTTGAAAGTCGATGTTCCTTTCAAAGCCTTTCGAATCTCTCGCGATGGGCGTCGGGTTTGGGGTGGAAATCTCTAGCTCAGATGCCCAAAACCCTGCATCCTAATCAGCTCATCCCAAAAGCCTCAAACTCACTTCAGCTTCTTAAACCCGCAACACTCCAGACCCTCAAATCGAAACCCAAAGGCTCATAAGGCCACTTGCATTCCAGGCGCGCCCCAGCCAAGAAGGCAACAGTTCCGATCGTCGAAGGCACATCCACCCGCTCCGACACCTACCAAAGGTCTGACAGACTTCATCCGTCATAAGAATCTTCCGTGTAGTCCCTTCATTCGTCCGGAAGATCCAGTTCCTCTGGACCGGGAAGCATCCCGAAATTGTTTGGGCTTAGGGTTTTGGGTTTTGGGTTTAGGGGGCTGCATGGGCTGAAACTTCGAATTAGCCGACACAAACGACATCTACAAATCTGGTATCTTGAGCCCCAAGCATTCCAGATATGGATGACATATGCCAGGCCTTGAGTCCCTGAATGCTGCATCCACTCATCTCGAGAGTTTAGGGTTTAGGGCTTAGGGGGACTCTAGAGTAGCCTGAGCCCCTTTTAAAAAGAATCCGGCCCAGAATCATAACCTGCGCAATTGCCGGGTCAGGAGCTGCAAACTAAAGCTGCTGTTCAATCCTCCTGAACCCTAAACCCTGAACACAAAACCCCTAAAGTAAAGCCCTAAACCCTGAACCCTTGAACCCTAAACCCTAAGACCCTAAACCCTAAACCCTAAAGCCTTAAACCCCTGAACCCCTCAAGCCCTAAACCTTCTGCGCCTTGTTCCAATCGGCGCACAGCAACCTCAGCGACTCGGCCTTCCTCGCAGGGGCAGAAGACGCTTCGGCTCTTCCGCTTAAGGTTTAGATGGGTTTAGGGTTTAGGCTTTAGGGTTTAGGGTTTAGGTTTAGATGGGTTTAGGGTTTAGGGGTTGAAGACTTTTGTTGCCTCTGGTTGAGGATTTAGTTTAGGGTTTAGTTTAGGGTTTAGGGATACTGATTCTGCATTCAGGAAGTATAGGATGCCAGAATACAAACTTAAGTTTGTATGGGCGTGTTATAGGGCTTTGTAGTTTAGGTGGCATGGAAACCTATTTACATCTCAACCCATATGAGAGAAATTCAATGAAGGCTCATTGCAATCCACCGTCCTTGCCACATGGCAAAGTCTGGGGTTGCATAGTGGTCACACCGGAAACCCAACAGCAGCGCATGACCGCAAACCCTGTGCCAAGGCTGTGCTTATGCCGTAAACTCAACTAAACCCCAAGCCTCAGGGGTTAGGTTTTAGGGTTTTAGGGTTCAGGGGTTTAAGGTTTAGGGCTTTAGGGCTTTAGGGCTTTAGGGGTTTAGGGTTTAGGGTTTAGGGTTCAGGGTTCAGGGGTTTAGGGTTTACGATTTAGGAGTTTAGGGCTTTAGGGTTTAGGGCCTTAGGGCGCAATAGTCCTAAACATACTCGACAAATTGACAGAACCGCAGAAGCCTCAAAACAAAGCCCAGACTGCAGTAACCCTAAACCCTAAACCCTAAACCCTAAACCCTAAACCCTAAACCCTAAACCCTAAACCCTAAGATAGGGCCCTAAAGTCCCGAAGCCCCTCGGTCCCATCCCAAAAGCCCCTCAAGCCGGAGGAACCCGAAACCCGGAAGGAGCCCAAGCTAAGGTTTAGGGTTTAGGGTTT